ATTTCTTTCCTGAGTTTTAATTACTTGTCATCTCCTATAGTTTTATCTTCTTTAATCTCTTACAGCATTTTGGGGTTTTTTCTCTAGTTTTCAAAGATTTATGTTTCAGTCTCTCAAGAGATTGTGAGAATTACACATCTGGATTGTTCTTCCTTTGTAGAAGATTTTTACCTCCTCTTCCTTAGAGGTATCTGTGTGCGTGTGTGTGGAATCTATGCAGGGGTCCTATGTTTGTTCTCTTCTGTTACTGAACGGTGGACACAACAGCTGCGCGGGCATGTCCTTGCTGGCGAAGAGTGTGGGAGGAGCTAGGACAGGTCTCCAGGGCAGTCGGAGGCTTCGATGCAGGTTTGCCGTCCTAACACTTGTCATCAACTCTGCTTTTCCCTGCCATGGACATATATGTAAACAGCCATAAACATATGAAAATGTGACCTTATCATTAGGCACCAGGGAAATGCAAGTTAAAATCACAATGAGACAGCATTACACATCCACCAGAATGGTTATGTTTTTAAAATTGACATTATCAAGCCTTAGAGAAGCGGTGAAGCTACTAGACTGTCATATTACTGGTGAGGAATATGAATTGTTGGGAAATTATTTGATGACTGATAGTTAAACATGCGAAGCCTTCTTTTGCTTTCACCCAGAAATTCTGTGGTAGCGATTGGGAGGAGCGTCAGGACGCTGGCGATGTTCCGGGGGGTAGGCGCATCGGTGGCTAACTGTGACCACTCACTGCCCAGTTATAGCTTATGACTGCTTTGTATTTATCTCATGTCCAGTAAAAACGTAACGTTTATGTCCCCCAAAAAGGTTTTTGCAAGGCCTAGATGTTTGATTTCCTCAGTGTGATCAGGGAGAGCTTTCTTAAAGGCCAGGGCGAAGCAGACACTTAATTCTCTCAGCCACGGGGGCTCCGGTTATAACACAAGCCGGGCGTCTCTCTTCCTTCTGGCCCTAATGTGGTCTCCCAGGAAGTTGAATGACTTGCCATGACGTCCTCTCCCTGCAAGGAATACACCACTGCGCCCACAGGCTTTCAGACCTTCTACCCCAGGGGAGCCCCCTGAGGGCCTGGCCACAGAGTCAGGGAAATGTGACAGTGGCTCTGTGATAAAAGTCTCTTTTGGTAGCAAGTGGCAAAAATTCAATTCAGGTTTTGGTTCCCTGACATTTGGAAATGCATTGGCTTATGGGACTGTGAGGGTGCCTCACAGGTGTGCTTTTAGCTTCGAGCCTTCCGCGGCCACCTGGGCTGGTCCAGCCTGCCCCTTGCTCCTTCCTCCGCATTCGCTTTATTCTCAGCAGCTCTTGCCTTCCGCGTGCCAACGAAGGAGCTGCCGCTGGCTCCGTAATTATATCGCCCACAGAGGTAGAGAGCCCTGGGGAGAGCATGTCTCTTCCGCAATAGTTCTAACAAAGCCCCAGGGAGGCTGAAGTCCGGCTGGAGCCGCCTGCATATTCCTGAACCAATCCCTGTGCTGGGAAGACTTGGTTCTCTGACTACATGTGGGTCATATGATAACCCTACGGTTGCGAAGGGGAGGGGTGATGGAGTGGACCACCCACAACAAAGAAACTGTGGTTAAGAACATAAAAAGGGGAGGGGGAGAGTAGGAAAAGGCCTGTGGGCAGGCCTACTAATACGACCATGGTCTACATTTCCTGAAGAAGTCGCTTGTGAGCATTTAGCCCAGCCGTGGGCAAACTTTTTGACTCGAGGGCCACAATGGGTTCTTAAACTGGACCGGAGGGCCGGAACAAAAGCATGGATGGAGTGTTTGTGTGAACTAATATAAATTCAAAGTAAACATCATTACATAAAAGGGTACGGTCTTTTTTTTTTTTTTTATTTTATTCATTTCAAAGGGGCTGGATCCGGCCCGCGGGCCGTAGTTTGCCCACGGCTGATTTAGCCCATAGTCCTGCATCCTGCCTAGGTGATTTCCTCGGCCCACGGCTACTTAAACCAATGAGTATATCATATTCAAAAAGTTGGGAGAATGGTTCAACTTGGAAATTTGGTAAGAGAATTCCCAGGCCTCTCTTTGGTTACATAAATATATCACATTGTTCTATTAAAGCATTTGGATGTGGTTTTAAAATATGCACCACAAAATGCCATCAATTGACTTCTACAGTAAAGAAAATGTTCAAGAGTTGGTGAGGAGTCAGACTCTTGGCGATTGTGCCATTAGAATCAAAATAGATTCTTTTAAAGAAATGCTCACATCTTATTCTTAGCAGAGAAGCAGCTCTTTGCTACTCAGAGATTAACTTGCCTTGGATGATACTGATTTCTGTTCTATTTTCATGTTGAAATTCTGTTCATTATTTAAATTTTTTTTAAAAAAATGGTGGCATGGCCCGGCTGTGGTGGCTCAGTGGTTGAGTGTCGACCTATAAACCAGGAGATCACGGTTGGATTCCCGGTCAGGGTATATGCCCGGGTTGCAGGCTCGATCTCCGATCCTGCAGGAGGCAGCCGTCAATGATTCTCTCTCATCGTTGATGTTTCTCTCTCTCCCTCTCCCTTCCTCTCTGAAATCAATAAAGATTTTTTTTTAATTGTGGCATGATTCATACCTCAACTTACCTAATCCCTTACATAATGTTTATTAGCTCAGGGTTAATGGTCACTCAGGTCAGATTGAAAAGATAATTGGGAAAACTCTGTAGTGAACTTTGAGCTAATTTAAAACGTTGCTCCACAATTCTAGACAGCTGTGCACGGGCCACCCTCGCAGTTGGTATGGCGTTGCTTTAAAGACTTGGTGTGTTGGAGGCTACAGCTTTTCCCTGTGATGTCAGAAGATTGCTCACCTGCAGTCTCCCATTTAACCATGGCACCCCCGTTGGACTGTCCTTTTTTTCCCTTTTTCTTTTCCAAAAGAACACAGAGTAAAAGTAGAGGTAAAGAGTTGATGTTCTTGCCAACTTCCTTCCTTCAAGAATCTCCTTAAGCCTCTAATGTTACAGGCTGTTGAGAAAACCACAATAGTGGAGAGCGCCAAGACACCGAGACTAGAGTATTTGATAGTTTACTGTTCATGCTTTCAATAATTTATTGAGCACCTACTATTGGCCAGGTTCTATAATAAACACTGGTATTACAGTGAACACGAAAAAGTCCCTGACTTTTAAGACTTTCAGTGGGGATGACAGACAGAAACAAATAAACTAAAACGCAGCCAGGGACCGAGTAGCAGGCTACAGGTGGAATTTAAAGCCGCTGCTTTAGCCGTAATCAGTTTGGCTCAGTGGATAGAGCATCGGCCTGTGGACTGAAAGGTCCCAGGTTCGATTCTGGTCAAGGGCATGTACCTTGGTTGCAGGCACATCCCCAGTAGGGGTTGTACAGGAGGCAGCTGATGGATGTTTCTCTCTCATCCATGTTTCTAACTCTCTATACCTTTCCCCTCTTCTCTGTGAAAAGTCAATAAAATATATATATATCTTAAAAAGCTGCTACTTTAGACACGGTGGTCGCACGGTCAAGGCACCTTCGGAAGGATTACTGAGAGCAAGTTGTTCCAACCTGGATCCCGCCAGGAAGAGAATCACTCGGTTCTTTCAGGCAGCGGGGACTTTAGGAGCCATGAATGGCAGAGGACGACAGGTGGTACCGACCGGAGCTGCCACACTCCCCTGCTGGAACCCAGGAGCCACCCCCGCTCCCGTGCCATCTGGAGACGCTGTCACCGCCACCCTCCACTTCCCGGGTGTGCCATCCTGCCCACGGCGGGCACTGCGAGTCAGGAGGCACCCGCCTCACTGCTCCGAGGAAGGGGCCACACACTGACTCCAGGAGCAAAAGGACCCCCCCCCCCTCCTGCCTCATTTCCCGCTCGTGCCTCCTTCGTTGGAAGCCCGGGCGTGAGAGCCTGGGCAGCGGTTAATCCGCTGGGGCAGGGGCTGCCGGGCGGCACCAAGGCTGGCAGGTGCGGAGTTGAAAGCCGGAGTCCCAGAGCCGCAAAGGGAGGCCAGGGAGGGTGCGGGGGGCCCCCCCGGCGGCGGAGGGGGGCTCGGGAATTGGGGCCCCGGAAAAGGGGGGCCGGTTTCCCCCTTGGTTTTTGAAAAAACCGACACGGGGGGCCCCGGGGGGGCCCCCCGGTCCGGGGGTTGGGTTTTGGTTTCTTAAATTCCCCGGGGGGGGTGCCCTTTTTTTAAGACCAACCGAACAAATGGGGTGGCGGGTGGGACCCCCCCCCCTTCGGGGCCCCCGGGGAAAAGGGGGGGG